AGACTTAGCGTTATAATCCCCTGCTAAGATCCATGGTGAATTGTTTATTTGCTTGTTAATGATGTCCAGGTTTGTAATAAGTTCTAGAATGTCGTCATCCGGCGAACAATATATAGAAGTAATGTATAAAGAAGTATTATCGGTGGAAATCTGTACTGTAGTTATATTCTCTTTGCTTAGGACTGGGCAAAAATCCATGTTTAGATCACTGTGAGGGGAGAGGATCCCTGTTTTAGGTTTATTGTATAGTCCTTTAGGAGGGAAAACCTTCCAATTGCCGAAATGGACAATTCCTCCATCCAATGTGTATGGCTCTTGAAGAACCACAATGTCTATTTTCTTTTCAGTCACTGTATTTATTAGAAGAGATGAAGCTACTTTGCATCTTTCTGCATTGATTTGCAGCACCTTAATGTTTTGTTCCTTAAAATAGTGTCCCAGAACTACTGTTTTGTAAAGATGTACTTGTTTGTTTGCAGAATCCCTTAGATGCCATAATCAGTCTGTTTTATTCTCTGTGCTCTCAGTTTTTGAAGTATTGGGCAAGTTTTGTCGTATGCGTTGTGATTAGTTGAACCTTTTTTGTCGCTGGCTGGTCTCTATTATGTTTTATGCAATTTATGCAGCAGGGTGTATTCTGTTTATCATTACATTCGTTACATCTATGATTTTTAGTGCAGTGACTACAATATATCTTTTCTCTACAATCTTTTGCCATATGATTGAAGCCTGTACACTGGAAACATCTGATTACAGGTACGTAATCATCTAGTTTGACGTTCGCCCATGAAAGCAATATATATCTATAATAATAAACAATGCTTTTTGCTTGCGACTGTAAATTAGACAGAATTAGATAACCCAACAAATAGGGTATAACATTTTGCAGGGCTTATCACACCAAGGCCGACTGAAAGGACGACCAGAACTTTTATAAAAAAAAAAGGTTGGTTTTTAATAATCACACATCAAAGTATGCATTTTGGGTACAAGGACCCCCTCATCAGCTTACAAACACATGGCAACAACGTAACAAATACAATACCAATAACCTGTCAATACAACGGGATAACCAATGTATGCAGTACACTGCATTTACAATATCTCAATGTAACACATACACTAAACTAAATTATCAAGTATAAATCAGAATACAATGACAATGTGGTATAACATATTAACTCCACCAGTAAATGTCTTAGTTTCTCCTACATTTTCCAAATTCTGGTAGACTGTTACATCTTATTAAACCAATTGGTCTCCAGATTTTAACACAAAAAAATACATCAGATCTATAAGCCATTGTGAAGTCAACTGCACTGACCATCTGCATTTTACAAGGTGATGTGCCTATACTCCTACATCTGTTCAGCATCTGTTTCAAGGTTAAGTGAAAACAATGTCAATCCACCCCTCATGTAGCTTCAGTCCCATGTTGTTATTAATTCTGATGTCTTCTTGTATCTTCAGAATTTCTAGGTGTTCCTTGGTGTGATAAGCCCTGCAAGGTGTTATGCCCTATTTGTTGGGTTGTCTAATTCTGTCTAATGATATATATATCTATGTTGAATTAGTATATTTCTGATGTTTGATGCGACAGAAAGCACCACATGTCGGCAATTTTCTTTTATATTTCCTTTGAAAATGGTTGTACTAATCCTACATTTCTCTATAAATTCGTCTTTGTTCATTTGTTCCAGAATATCCTTTTGATTATACATTGTCTCAAGTAAGTTTTTATTATCAACAGAGTCAGGGAAATTGACAAGAATTAACCTTGGTTTCCTACCCTCTGTGACATGACATTTTATCTTTTCTTTGGTTGAGGGAAGAGTTTCTATTGCTTTTAATAACTTTTCTCCATCTTTACTGTTTCCCACTCTGAAGCAGGCACCTTCATTTGTAATTTTCCTTACTCCTTTGATTTTGACCCCAATATCTGCTGGGTTGACTTCTGTCACCACATCCTTTATCTACATGTGTTCCATTTTCCCCTTTCTTAGGATATACTAGGACAGCGTAGCTGTCCCCTGTTCCTTCATTGTTGAGCTTCGACGTCAGTGATTTTGATATAATTTTAGTCGTATTACTGGAATTGTTTGTCGATTTGACAATTTGTGCATATGTTGGTTGTGAAGCGATTGGCATTTGTTTTATTCTGTGAAGTCTCATTTTTCGATCTCATTTCTTTTAATATGCCGTACATTTGATGTACGGCAGCAAATAGTTGTGCGCCTTTTTCCTTTAACTCTTTCCTTTCTTCAGTACGGATGTTCCTTTTATAAGGCTCTGGGAGCAAGTCTAAAATTCTTTTTATATAAGTACTGGCGTTTTGTAATATTTCTTTTTCATTCAGGTCATTACCTAATCTCCCATCCCTATCTCTATCTGAGTCCACTTCAGCCCTTTCCTGTGTAGATCCTTATCATCCATAATGCCAATGTAATGAATAAACAAAATAACACAATTGTACTATACTAAATTAATAGAAAATTAACTATCCTAATAAAATCCAACCAAGTTCAAATCAAGAAAAACAATGAAAATAGTTGAAATCCAAAATTTAAATTAATGTAATAAATTATCTAAATTAAATAATTCAAATTTATTTAAAAAAAAAACGACGGTTAAGAAAGCCGTTACGAGCTAGCGACAGTTGAAAAGTTCATTAAAAAACCATTAGTTTTTAATTTTTTTTTCTTTTCCCCCTTTTTTCCTTTTTTAATTGTAAGTAATTATAAAAGATTAAACGCCTGTAATTACGTTAATTGTAGACCTATTAACCCCAAATTTACACCAATAATAAATATTACGTAGCTAAATAAAACCCCCGTTTCTGCCCCCTCCTGTCTTATCCCCCAATCGCTAGACTTCCGAAGTTTCTAAAATTAAATTTTCCCTAACTCCCCCTAATTAACCTATCATAATAATTAATATGTCGTACGAACCCTCTTTCAATCCACTTTCAAACAGTGTGTCACTTTCTTTTGTCCGATTAGTGGTTAATCCAAAATCGCAGTTTAAAGACAGAGCACTAATAAAAGCAGCCTCCTCACTTAACGCTCGGGAGCGCTCAAGTTTCCCTATTTATACACAGCACCATTAGATGTGATGTGCGACACCTATGGTCACTGACCAATCAACGAGCACGATAGGCCACACTCGTACAAAAACCGGCACCACGAAATGAAACAGTTTTACAATACAAAACCCGACATGACGCACATAATATACAATATAAAAACCCGACATAAAATATACAAAGTGCTTCGGCACTACAGACATAAAAAGGAGGACTAACTTATCCAGAAAAGGTAAAACAAATTGAGGCAGCTCCTGAAATTTTGAAAACCTTTGATCCAAGAACTATAGATAAAATAAATGAAATGTTTACTGCTTTAGTTGTAGGAACAAAAGATAACAGACCATTATCAAAATACATGAATAAATCAATCGAAGATATTAAATTCCATGGTGAATTTAAATCAAATTTTTCCAAAGAAATTCATAGTTACACTAAAGAAGAAATTTTTAAATTTCTCTAAAATTAGTCCCCTTTTTAGAATTTTATATATAAGCTTAAAAATGGCATTACAGCCATCAATGCCACCTGCATCAATTGATGATAAACATGTGATTAAAAAGAAGATATAACTGGTTTAATATGACAATGTTACTTTATGCATTGCTACTATTGTTATTTTATTTAATTTGCTCATTATAACAATCTAATAAATTTAGCTATATTGCCATTAATTACTTGCCTGTGCATTGATAGTTTTTTTAATTTACAAAGAAATTATGGAAGTTAGTTTTTTTGTTATGAAAGCAGAAAGCTTTCTATAAATAATAATTTTTTTGTTTCTCTTTAGGTTACATCAAAACAATCCTGGACAGGGACTTCATTTGTCTTTGGAAATCCGATTTAATTTCGTAGCCTACTGAGTGGATACTACAACAAATCATCCAACGTTGAAACCTTTGCATAAGATCTTTCAGGACTTTATTCCAGGTATTCCAGGGTTTACAAATGCATATATATATATAGATGGATATTTTTGGAGTGGGAAAGTGGTGGTCTTCAGTTATATTAATAAGATAGATTTAAATTCGACAAAGACATGTTATGTTCCAATAGACCTAGGTCTGTTAGGTGATATTATAGGGTTAAGGCACGAATGACTCAAATCAAGGAATTTACAATTTGGTTTAATCATAAATATTTACAGATTATGCATCTGTCCTAAGACATGCGAGGAACATAATTATTCGAATTTTCAAGCTCAAATAATACACACTATACAATAGGATCGAAAATGTTGTTTCTTTTTTTTTTTTTTTTTTTAGAATACAATAATTAACATACCAAGAATAATGTTTCAGTAAAGTCCTGCGTTGTTTTCTGCTTCAATATCTTGCGATTAATTTGTGGATAACGGACATATTTCACAGGATGGAATGGGATTGAATTCAGTTCATTCAAAAGTTCACAAGTGTTTGTCCCTTCCTTCTTATCAACTGACAATCTTATACTATAGTCTTGCTCATTCGAGGAGAGGAACCAAAAAAAACTCGAGGCTTTTGACGAGAGTTTTCCTATTTATACACTGTGCCATTAGGTGTGATATGCGACACCTATGGTCACTGGCCAATCAACGAGCACGATAGGCCACACGTGTACAAAAACTGGCACCACGAAATGAAACGGAGTTTTACAACATAAAACCCGACATGACACATAATATACAATATAAAAACCCGACATAAAATATAAGTGCTTGGGCACTACATACCTCCCTTAATTTAAGATTACTTACCGTAGTGCAACCTACGGAAGTCTATATCTGTGTTGTAAATTATACGGTCTTTCTTGTTGCTCACTTCTAACAAGATCATCAGTAGCATGCCTCTCACTCCTCTCATCATGTACAATTTTAGGTATTCTCCTAATTACTCTAAAATCAGGAGCCTCATCCTCATCATCAGATATGNAAACAAGCTTTCGGCATCCTGACATCGTACTGCCATACCTATTTTGTCATTTGTAAATGTGACTGTCTGACCAAGGAACATACATTACAAGTTTCAAATTGTGTGAGGTATGACCAAGACATCATTAAAAAGGTGACTCAATTTGTTCACTTCGCAATGAACTCTGAAAGGAAAGAGATCACGAACATCCCTGTTCACTTGTCACCTGAAATTGGAACTGGAGATGCCAAAGAGGAAAGAGGAAATTGTACACCAGATAATGGACCAATGAAGCAGGAAGATAAGAATAGACATGGTCAAAAAGAAGGGAGTGGCACAAGGAAAAGATGCAGGGAAGACAACACAGAGAGAGTAAAACGTACGTTGTATTTCAATGGACGTGTAATAGGAAGTGGAAGATCTGGATGTGTTTTGAGTCTTTCTGATCGTCAGGGTCATCTGTATGCAGCAAAAAGCATTTCTGGGCTTGATGAGGAAAGGAGTGATGAGGAATACGACATCCTCTGTGAACTGCAGAACGAAGTTAAAATCTACAAAAAGTTGAGAGGCCTGCAAGGTAAAGTTGTTCCAAAGTTTCATTACAGTGGCTATTTACATGGTTGCGAATACACCCTGCTCTTAGACGAACTCGATGCATATCCTCTCTGGAAGTGTGACCTGTCGTATGAGGAAAAGGAAACGATCGTTTGGGCGTTGGGCGAGATCCACGCGGCCGGAGTTTTGCATGGCGATATCAGGGAGCAGAATATTTTGTTACACAGGACCACCAAGCAACCCTACTTCATAGACTTTGGGTTTTCAAGGGAAAGTAGTTGCGAGATGGACTTCGAAGAAGAAATAAAGAAACTCAGAGCACTTTTAGACATGTAACATTTGTCATAGCTTAACTTAATGTAGATTTTGGGGAATTGAAGACATTGTGTTTATTTGTGGGGCCAATTTCTACTAACTCAGTGATTACTGTTGAAAAAATTTGAGTAACATCGATTTAAAATAAATGTTTTTGAAGAACATGTACTGTTATATTATTCATAATCATTCCAATACACAAAAATAGCAAACAGTGGTTTTGGAGCCATTTCAGAGGCAAGTCAAAAATATTTTTATAAGAACAACGCCCATTATTTAATTCTATTAACATTCTTTTTTATAAAATATATANCATAGTGTCATTGTTTATTCCTTATTTTCTTTTCGCAACCTGAGCGAAGGAGTTCATTATCATTTCTGTGCGTGAGGACAGATACTCAACATGTTTGTCCCATGAAAACCTGAAATCAAGAAATACACCCAGGTACTTCAAGGATTTTTCTATCTTAATTGTGCTATTATTCATTTTCAAGTGAGGTGGTCTTAAGTACAGGTTCTGTTGTCCCGACTTATTGAGTACACTGTGTATTCATCAATTTTCATTTTCATGTAGTAAAGGCTCTATGCCTTCATAAAGTACGTACTTTTCCTTTGTTTAAAGGTATTTGGGCAGTTTATTCTGTGTTGTATTCTCAAGCAAACAATACATAGAAGTACTGTACAGTACAGTATTTTCTGAGAAAATACTCTTACTTATTCTTTTTTAACCCCATTCCTGATAACCCAGCATTTTCACACTCTGCCACCCTTTGGTCCACATTAGACCGAGTTTTCGGGACTCTACTATATTAGGTACCCCCCATTTAGAGCTGTAACACATGAACCCCCCATTTAGAGATGGTATGGGATAATACTGTAAAAGATAGTTTCATAAAGGGTTTGTTGGTAGAGATATGGAGGCAAGTGATGCAATCTAGACCCGGTATGTTGGACGGTGCAATATTGAAGGCAGAAAAAGAGGAAGAAGTGGAATCTGCTTGTAACAAACGTGGTGGTGGGTTTAGTGAAGTATGTGCAAATTTAGAACATTCAAAAAACACAAGTGAAAGGGAGGATAGGTTGGAGATCGTGTAGCTGAATTAGAAGCCCAACTGAAGAAGTTGAACGAGTCCATGTTAGATGCCATGAAGTCAGATAGAAAACTTAGTAAAAAAATGGGAGGACATGCGAAGGTGTTATTCGTGTGGAGAAATAAGGCACATTTCAAAAAAATTTAATAAAAGAATGAATTTAAACTAACGTGTGGCCAATTGAGGAGTCAGTCAATTGACCAGATAAAAAACAAACTAAAACTGAACAATTGCATAATGATAACTGACTGTAAGTTGCCAATCATGTTGGTAGAAATGGACGAAAAAAAAGATAGAGGGGCTAATCGATACAGGTGCTGAGCACACTTTTTAGTTAATAGGGAATTCATAGAGGAACTAAAAAAAGGGGGGGTTAAGTTGTATTATCACAAGTGAGGCATGTATCAGGGGCATGTCAGGAGTAATTATTACAAGTAATGAGGCATTGGTCATTAAATTTAATTTAATCAGGGGTTACTTACTTTTTTACTTTAATTTTATTTATTATGTACAAAGTACATGCCCTGACCCCGCATGTAGCATTATCAGGGCTAGAATACAGGTATGATTAATTACAATTACAATATAAATATGACCGGATTACAATATATAATTGTAAAGGGTTAACAAAGAACAGAGATATATACATATTGTACAGGCCTCAGGGAAGCCACACTCACAACAGTTCGCGTGAAGTGGTCCCTACAGGTGGAAGTCAACATAGATGCCTATGAAAGCAATTAGCTGTGAAAGCTGGATTTATTAACAGTGTAAATCCTCTTAGCGAACTGTATAAAATTATGGTAAATATCTTTATTTAACCAAATGTCATGTTGTTTGAATGGCCAACTGATCTTGTAGGTATCCAACAATATCTTAAATTCTAATCTTTCCCTTTTGAAGGCGATGCAATTAAAGAGATAATGATCTGGACCATCCTTGACATCACATACATTGCATACATCAGAAGTGTTATTTACGAACCTTGCCAGGTAATTAGCGAATTTACCATGGTTAGTGAATATTTGATTAACATAGAAATTAGGTGAGTACCAATTGGTCCGTAGATGCTGTTGAATATCAGGGATGAATTTATAAGTTATGTGATCCTTATCTAGGTCCCAAGTTGTCTGCCAGAGTTGTAAAGTTTCCTCCCTTAACAAACTGCGCAGTGAACGTCGACTGATTTTCTTGTAGACAATATGTTTCTTGTCCAAAGTAGTAGCAGACTTGGCAAGAGAGTCAACTCTCTCATTACCAATCACCCCTTGATGGGCTTTGACCCATGTTAGTTGGAATTTACAGTTTGACAATCGGATTTGATTTCTAATGTTCTCAGCTAGTGGATGCAGTTTTGTACTTTTAATAATCTTGTATTCAGATAAGGAGTCTGTGTTTATAGTAACACTAATGTTGTTGTGACTTTTATCAATGGTTTCAACAGCCTTCCAAATGGCATACAACTCTGCCTGGAAAACTGTACACCTGTCATCAAGGCGGAAAGTCTGATGTGTTGTTTCCAGCGAATTTTCATACACAACTAGGCTGCAGCCAACAGAGTTATTTATCTTCGAACCATCAGTGTAGATGTCTATATAGTTGTTATTGGTATTCTCTTCAATGTTGGCAGTATGACCAATAGGAAATAGTCTCGCTATATGGGATTGTCCATTCTATGTCTTCTTGTTGGATGGTATTGTTCGAAATCGTAATATTGCTGCCCCACTTAATCTGCTGATACTTTTCCCTCTGAAAAATCTCGATCTATGGGAGGTTTCCTAGCAAGCACCTGAAGGCATCGATTACTCATGGTACGGTAACATTTAGTCATTAAAAGAAGCGCTCGTCTCTGCGATGAAATGAGCTTTCTCTTTGTGTGAACCTTTCTAGCTGCCCACCCTCAGGTGCCGCAGGCATAGGTGACCATCGGTAGAAATATGCTGTCATATATTATAGACATAGTGTCATTGTTTATTCCTTATTTTCTTTTCGCAACCTGAGCGAAGGAGTTCATTATCATTTCTGTGCGTGAGGACAGATACTCAACATGTTTGTCCCATGAAAACCTGAAATCAAGAAATACACCCAGGTACTTCAAGGATTTTTCTATCTTAATTGTGCTATTATTCATTTTCAAGTGAGGTGGTCTTAAGTACAGGTTCTGTTGTCCCGACTTATTGAATACAATTCCCTTTGTTTTGCCAGGGTTAAAGCTTAATTTATGTTTCAGCCACCATTTGTAAATCTTGTTCAGTATTTCTTTTCCTCTTGTTTCCAGGTCAGCTCTGGACCAGCCCCCCACGAGCAACATCACGTCATCTGCATATGTAAGAACACCGATTGGGGGGGGAGATTTTATTCCCTACCGTCGGGATGGTCTAGGGTTAAAGCATATGTGGGTGGCGGTTTTTGTAGGCAGCAAAGACAAGTGTTTAACAAAGGTAAACCGTTTATTTCCCGATGATTATGCTTACATATTTTTCTTTGTGGCAAAGGTCCTGAGCAGTTGAAAGTTTCGGCGTTCGGAGCTGGTCTTTCGTCGTCGGGGCCCCTTTGACAGTGTAGTGAGAAAGTAGTATAAAGTCTCTGACGGCGTTGCACAAAAGGAGAACAAAGGTACCAAAAAAATAAGCGTAGAAATCTGGACACAACAGAAGTCTATAGAAGGTCTTAATGGAAGTCTAGAGGAAGTCCCGTTGTCCTTGAATTAACGCTTTTATAGAATTTTGGAAATCGGCTTCTTGCTAATTGGATAGACATTACCTCACTATCTTCCTATTGGTCATCCATCTATCTCCAGGTGTAAAAGGAGCTCTGTAAAGTTCGCGGGAAAGGTCGGCTGAAGATGGTCTATCCGACACCATCTTTTCGAATCTGATCGCGTTTAATTGTTGACTATGACACCTTCGCTCATCTAGACATTTTTTTATATAGTTTCGTTTCGCTTTCTAAACTGCGTCTTAACTTTTAATATTTTAAATTTTCTTCTTTTAAATCTAAAATTTAGGTTTTTCGTAAACTTTTAATGAGCGTCGACGTCAAAGTCCGGTGTCGCCGATTCGACACTTATATAATTTGTTTTTTTTTGACGGGATAACTTTACAAAACTTTACAATATTTTTTACATGGAGCCATTTCCGGGGCCTCACACATAGGCAAAGCTGTAATCTTGTCCAAAGTTATTTTTCAGAAATTCATCGAACGTTATTATCCACAATAGAGGCCCACGCACTGACCCCTGCGGGCATCCTCTGCAGATGGCTTTAATCACAGAATGTTGTCCATATTCCAGTGTGGCTTTCCNAATTTATTATGTACAAAGTACATGCCCTGACCCCGCATGTAGCATTATCAGGGCTAGAGTACAGGTATGATTAATTACAATTACACTATAAATATGACCGGATTACAATAGATAATTGTAAAGAGTGAACAAAGAACAGAGATATATACATAATGTACAAACCGCAGGGAAACCGCACTCACAACAATTTGCGTGGAGTGGTCCCTACAGGAAGAAGGCAACACTGATGCCTATGAAAGTAATTAGCTGTGAAAGCTGGAATTATTAACAGTGTAAATCCTCTTAGCAAACTGTATAAAATTATGGTAAATTTCTTTATTTAACCAAATGTCATGATGCTTGAATGGCCAACTGATCTTGTAGGTTTCCAACAATATCTTAAANAACAGAGATATATACATAATGTACAAACCGCAGGGAAACCGCACTCACAACAATTTGCGTGGAGTGGTCCCTACAGGAAGAAGGCAACACTGATGCCTATGAAAGTAATTAGCTGTGAAAGCTGGAATTATTAACAGTGTAAATCCTCTTAGCAAACTGTATAAAATTATGGTAAATTTCTTTATTTAACCAAATGTCATGATGCTTGAATGGCCAACTGATCTTGTAGGTTTCCAACAATATCTTAAATTCTAATCTTTCCCTTTCGAAGGCGATGCAATTAAAAAGATAATGATCTGGACCATCCTTGACGTCACATATGTTGCATACATCAGATGTGTAATTTATGAATCTTGCCAGGTAATTAGCGAATTTACCATGGTTGGTGAATATTTGATTAGCATAGAAATTAGGTGAGTACCATTTAGTCCGTAGATGCTGTTGTATATCAGGGATGAA